TGATGATGCCTTCCACAGCCTAGAGCAAGCCTTCAGCTATCCCAGGGGCAGGTTTTATTCCCGTGGTTAAAGTGAGTAACTAGAGAAGGATGTGGGATCAGGGGACCTTGCAAGTGCAGAGGAAAATAAATGTGCAGCATTGGGAACAGAGTTGCTTTCTACACTTGCCTCACACTGTCAGGTTTGGTTCCCTGCGGGATGAGTGAACTGGAGGAAAATGGGACAGGGTTAGTGCAGTGACATGCTCCAGCGATGGCACTATTTCCTCCCCAGGTAAGCCCACGTGCTACTGCCTCATAAGCCCTTCTGAGCACATCAAAATGGGCTTCACTAAAAAGATTACAGCATTTTCTCAGCCACCTCATCTGTGGTGATGCGCGTGCCTGGTATAGCATTGCCTGAATAGCAGGCAGTGTCAGAGATACAGACACCAGAATGCAAAGCCAGGGAACAGACTTTGGACACGGCCGAGCTCTTTGGCACTGGCAGGGAAATAAAATAAGCACATAGTTGTCTCTATGCAAACCACATGATATTCCTGCACCACAGACTGGGAATTATGAAAAGGGATTGCTGTTTTCCTCATCAGAGGTAACAGAATTATACAAATCTGGTTTCCAACATGCAAGCTAATTTATTGATTTATTCTCTGCCACTAAACTTAAGGGAATATCAGTCTTTTCATTCAATCACTGTTCTATTACTCCTCTTGAAGCTTAGTCTGCTTCTCCTTTTCGCTTCCTTTGTACAGTTCATTTTTTATTTGAAAGCTTTCCAATTAACATGTAATTATTTGTAAGGAAAGTATGCCCATACAGCCTTCTGTTCAAGTCTATTATTTTTAAGACAGAGCTGCCCACCTGTTCCACATTTCTGTTGCCAGCAGAATGTGAATGACTACAAGTGACACACAGGTGAATACCACCAAAACTGGTGCTAGCAAGTAGTACTGGGAAAAAAAAAAAAAAAAAAAAAAAAAAAGAGGAAAAAAAAAAAGAAAAAAATGAGCAGAGTGCTGGCCTGTGTGCCCAGCCAACACACTGCATGCGTGCTCTGTGTTGCCTTTCTTGCCCTCCTGTAGGCTTAGTTACATTCTCTAAGAACAGAGAGTCTTATAGCTATTATAGATCTGCTGTGAAACAAGCCTGTTCACTCTGAGTGCCCTGAGGAAAAATTTGGGGAACTCAGGTATGAGCTCCATTAAGACAAGAGTCTATTTTGTACTAACAGAAGTCAAGAGAAAACAAAGCCGCCCGAATAAATGCATTTCCATAGTAGCTGTTAAGTATATTAAAGTCATTCCAAAGTAATTGCTAATTATATTACTTTATTACGAGGCACAATTAAATATGGGCTTGAGGTCATCCAGCTATTTGCTGTTTCAAGGAAAGCACTTGAGTCAAAAGGATTTCCTAAATGGAGCCATTCAGTGTTTTATTTCTCTGACTTTCAGGAATTACTCTAGATGTGAATAATTGGACATTGAATTATTGGTGAAATACTATTTCCATAAATTGTTTGTGCTTTACATAAGACAGCAACATGCTTCACAGGGCACTTTGTTCTCCCTTTACAGCACCCTGCACAGAAAGTACTGACACCATACATGCTGCATTTTATGGTGGGTTTCGTCTGGGATGATTGGTGTGTTTCTATTTCCAAATAGATAATTCACACAAACCAACACAGACAGTTAATTCTCACTTCTACTGAAATTAAAAGGAACTGAGAGAAGGATTCACATCTAAACCCAGAGGTGAGGCTCACAGGCTCTAAGACCCATTAAGAGAAAGAACTAGTTGATGAGTGGATGTCTAGCTTTTAGCATCAAAAGCTGAATGCCTGCCATCACAGAGGCCTGTTCAGTCAAGGCTGACAGTCGTGATCCTCAAAATTCATGGCTAACTTTGAGCTGTCAGTGGAGAAATATGTTCCCATTACACTTCCCAAGCACCTGCGCACCAGCACTGAGCTGAGTTCCATCTCAACCAAAGCCCTGATGCCAGCACGTTTCATGCTCCTTGGCCTCCTCCATTGGGCAACCTCTGCATTTACTTCACCAACATAAAACAGCTCTGAGACAGAGGTTCCCTACCTGCCACTTTGATTCAGACCATCAGTGGGAAGGTGGAAAACCAAGGCTGGGGCTCCTGCTTTCATAAATACTTATTTCTGCCACATGGGAAAGGTTGGATCAAAGGAACAGAAAAGCCTTTCCCGTTTCTTTTTCCTCCCTTTTTTTTTTTTTTCCCCCTCATAAAAAGACAGGCTACAGTCAAATTCTGTTCCAGGTCAAGTGGAAAAGAGCTGTGAACCTGCATCTTTAGAGGAAGAAAGCACTTATGAAAACACTTTCCTATCCTTTCTTCCCAGTTCAAGAAGAAACCTCACCAGCACTAAGCCCCCTGAAGATACCTCTGCCTCACTATCTCAGTGCCCCAAGTTGTGAAGTGGCTCGCAGTGGCCCAGTTGGCCCAGTTTCAAAATGTCTTAGGTATCTGCCTTTTTTTGGTGCTTCTCTCTCCTATTACACTGTGTAGAAAGTCCATCTGCCAAACTCAGGGGTTCTTGTTACAGGGAAGAACATGAGGAACCAGCTAAGCAATGCTGAACTCCATTTTCTACTCTCTTCTGCACCATCTACAGTCAAAAGGTCAGCCAGATAGGCCTTTTGTAATGAAAATGCTTTGAACTGGGATGAGGAGGTTTCATTCACAGCCAGGGAGGTATAAAAAGAAAAAACAAGCAAACAAACCTGAACTAGCCAGAGATGAACATCGCAGGGTTCAAAAGCTGCCTCTGCCTTAACTGGAATAACAATGGTGAACAGGAACAAGCTCTTCTTACTGCTGAGGTACGCTATAAAACCTTCTGGAAGCTGAAAGATAAGTGACCTGGTGATGCTTGGGCCATAGATCTGGTCCTTAATAAAGCACCACATGGTGGCATGGTCCACTCCTGCACATCCTCAGCAACTGACAGGATAAAGTGGTTCAGACAGAAAAAGCAAGGGCATGCATGCATGTGAACACAAAGATAGCAAAGCACAATATAGCTTTCACTCTCCCCCAATCATGTTCAGCTGGTGGGTGCTGAGGGAGGTCCTGGCACAGAGGGTGTCCCTTTTATTGCACGTGTTCAACTCCAGCGCGGCGCAGAATCTCCTGTCTGGCTCCCAGCTCTGCAAATGCCACCCTCAAACTGTTGCCATGCAATGAGCTGGCAGTAGCCATCATCATAACAAGTCTGCCCCCAGATCCATTTGGGAAACACAACTCTCTTGAGCATCCTTCATATCAATATTTATTGCCTTCATATATTTAACCTTAACATTCATAGTATTTCAATCAGATCTGACAGTAGTAATGATGAAAATGGCCTTAAACGCTATCACTATTTATTGCTGCATTACTACTAGGCAGGTAGCTCAATGAGTTTGATAAACTGCTTGCATAACACATATCTTTCAGTTAAAAATGCTGAATGACTAAGAATTTTATTTTAAACTACTGCCATAAAACGTCACTGAAAATGCCCTGAAGATGACAATCACAACATATTTTCCTCCTAAAATATTTTAGTCGTCAAAGATGCAAGTTTACCTTATATGAACATGGAAGCATTTCATAGAAATACATATATATGTATGTTTTAATTGAGATGATAATTTGTTTCTTTTTCCACTGTTTTCAAATCCAAACTCTGAAATGCGAATAATCTTGTCTGTGTTTTTTTTTTTAAAAAAAAAAGGAATCAATGCACACTGTAAGCCCAGGGAACAACGTCAATTAATAACAACATGGACGACAAAGAGCAAATTGTATTTTATCATTGCATTAAGCTTGCTGGGACTTGCCACAGTATTATACTAAAACTGCCTCCACCTCCATCTCCAGGGCCATCACTTGGTATCACTCCTGTTTGTTTTCTAGATAGACCTATAATTTTTACCATGCCAGCTCCAAAGAGTTGGCCATCATGCCCTAGCCCTTACGTGGGTGAGAAGGCCAAAACATAGCAGAAAGGGGGAATAATAATAATAAAGATAATAATAACGAAAGCAGAGTTCTACTTTGCTCTGATACACCGACAGCTCTCAGGAGCAGGACAAGCTTTACAGAACGCTTTCCAGCCTTTCATCCGGGCCCTGTCACAGCCCCGCTGCAGGGCCACCTGGGTGCCACGTCCCATCAGCATCATGCGTGCCGGCAGCGCGGGGCCGCCGAGCGAGCGGGATCAGCCCCCGCGGAACGACGTTACCCCCGCGCAGACGCCGGCAGCGGGATTAGCGTCCAAGCCGGGCTTCTCCCAGGTTATTTTCGCTGCTGGTTTTTCACTTACCCCCGCGCCGCTCCCGGGCGCACCCCGCCCCGCTCAGCCCCCGGCGCCGCTCCGCCGTGCCCCCGCGTCCTTCCGCTGGCTGCGGCGGGCTGGGGGGCGCCGGGACCGCGTCCGCGGACGGCCGAGGGGCGGCACGGCGCGGGGACGGGGCCGCGGAAGCCGGGAGGGAGCCGGGAGCTCATCCTGCGCGGGGATCAGCTGAGGACAGGGCCGGCAGCCCGCCCCTCGTGACAACGGAATCCCCCCCCCCCCTCCTCCCAGCGCCCCGGCTCGGAGCGGCGGTTGGGGGGGGGACGTGAGGCTGACGGAAGGGGCGCGGGGGGGGGGGCCAGGAAGGTGCCGCCGGAGCCCCGCGGAGCAGCGGCAGAGCCGCACCGGGCCGCGCCCCCTCACCTGCCCCCGCCGCCCCCACCCGCCGCGGCAGCCGCTTGTTTGCACTCGGCTTATCCGGAGCGGAAATTCCTTTCCGTTTTTGTGAATGACAAACTCATTAACAATTCATCAACACAACCTGTTCCAGCCGGCCCGTCGCCGCGGCAACAACCCCTTCCGCGCGCCCCCATTGGCTGCGCCGCAGAATGTCTCCATTGAGCGCGGCGCGACCGTGCCCATTGAGAGCCGCTGGGTGAGAGGAGAGCGCTCCGGGCAGCGCCGGCACCGGGGCGGGCGGGAGGGAGGGAGCGGCCCCGCGCTGCGCCGAGCCGGGCAGCCCTGCTCGGAGGCACGCTAATTGGATTTCATTCACTCGGGGCGGAGGAAAAGCCTGAGGGCTCGGGCTGCAGCGGCGATTAGGCAGGTTCATTCAGGGATTCATTGACAAAAAAAAAAAAGAAAAAGAGGAGAGCGGGCAGCAGGCAGCGGTGCACGCACGCGGAGCCGCGCGCACACACACACACACACACACACACACACACACGCAGCCGCTGCTCCCTCCCGTGGCTCCGCCGCCCGGCGCGGGGGAGGCGCGGGGGGGCTGCGTGATTCACTTCCCCGGGGCGGGGGGAGATAAGTTGTGCGGAGTTGCGGGGCCGCAGCCCGGCCGCACGCCCCTGTGAGAGAGAGGGGCGCTTCCCAAGCCCGCTCCGCGCACCCCGTCCTTCCTCATGCTAGATACGTTCAGACCCGTCCCTTTCGCGTCGGAAATGGCGATTAGTAAATCCGTGGCGTGGCTGAACGAACAGCTGGAGATGGGCAACGACCGGCTGCTGCTGATGGACTGCCGACCTCAGGAGTTGTACGAGTCGTCCCACATCGAGTCGGCCATCAACGTGGCCATCCCCGGCATCATGCTGCGGCGTCTGCAGAAGGGCAACCTGCCCCTGCGCGCCCTGGTCGCCAGCAGCGAGGAGGACCGGGAGCGCTTCGCCCGCCGGTGCGGCACCGATACGGTGGTTCTGTACGACGAGCACAGCCGCGACTGGAACGAGAACACGGGCGGCGAGTCCGTGCTGGGGCTGCTGCTCAAGCGGCTCAAAGACGAGGGCTGCAAGGCGTTCTATCTGGAAGGTGAGCGAGATTCTACGGTTCTATCAGAAGGGACCGGGAGGGCCCGGGCACTGCGCGCTGGCAGCCCGGGCAGGGGCTTTTCCCTCTCCCCGCTTTGTTTAAAGGGGCCCCGGGGGCTGGAGGGCTGCGACGGGGAGCGAGAAGGTCGGACGGGCGGACAAGAGGACTACCGTCCGCACAGCGCCCCGCAGCGCGGAGCGGCTCCGGGCTGTAATCCCGGGCGCTCTGAGCCCCGCGCAGCAGCGGGAGATTTCGCTAAACCTTCATTTGGGTCAGTCCGTCTGCCGACAGTGTGGCGTTTTCCTTTTTTTTCCCGAGACTCGAGGAGGTGGGGAAACAGATGTCCCTTTGCAGACTGAGCTCTCCCAGGCTTGCCGTGATATATATATCAATCAGGTTGCGATTTTTTTCCCCCTTGCTTTCCTCCTAGGTGGCTTCAGCAAGTTCCAGGCCGAGTTTGCCCTGCACTGCGAAACGAACCTAGATAGCTCGTGTAGCAGCAGCTCCCCTCCTCTCCCCGTCCTGGGCTTGGGAGGCCTCCGAATCAGCTCCGATTCCTCATCGGACATCGAGTCTGACATTGACAGAGACCCGAATAGTGCCACCGACTCGGATGGCAGTCCGCTCTCCACCAACCAGCCTTCCTTCCCCGTGGAGATCTTACCCTACCTCTACTTGGGCTGTGCCAAGGACTCCACGAATCTGGACGTTTTAGAAGAGTTTGGCATAAAATACATCTTGAATGTTACCCCCAACCTGCCCAATCTCTTTGAAAACGCCGGCGAGTTCAAGTACAAGCAGATCCCCATCTCAGACCACTGGAGCCAAAACCTGTCTCAGTTCTTCCCCGAGGCCATCTCCTTCATAGGTGAGACCCCGCTCTTGGCCAGCAGCTCCGTGGCGAGCAGCAGAACCCCCATTTCTTTCTCAGAAATCAAACAGATTTCGGGTGAGAAGCGGTAGCAGCGTTTCTCGCAGTCTCTGGGGGATGATGCTCCACTTTCTGATCTTTTAATTTTTGTTTATTTATTTATTTATTTAAAGCCGGCTTAAGGGGTGAAGGTTTATTGAGGAGAAGTGTGCCATGTGCAGGCTGCAGCTGCATACCTGGCCTGGTGCTGGGAATTCCTCACTGAGTGAAGCTGGGGACTGAGCAATATGCAGGATGGGGTTATTTTTAAATCTCCTCTTAGGGGAGAGGGATAAGGCAAATGAGCCCCGAGCTAGTGGTGGCTTATGCGTCTTTTGTTGGTTTTTTTTTTTTTTTTCCTTTTTTTTTTTTTTCCTTTCTTGAGGTTACTGGAGAGCAGCATAATGAAAAGAAACGTTCTGGGGAGCTAACTTTAGCTTTTAAATGCAAGTTACTCATAACCGGCATCCCTGGCAAATGTATAGTCAGGGCTTTAATTAAATCCCACGGTAATAATGATCTACCTCTCGGGCGCGGTGCCCCGGCCGTGTGCCGCTATCCGCTGGCTCTGGGAACGCGTTCCCGTGGGCTCGAGGCGTCGCGTTCGCCTCCCCCTCTGCTGGGGGAGGGCTGACATCGGGGTGCGGTGGGGTGAGCACCACATTATCTGTTGGGAAGCTGTGCTGTAATCCGGTTGAATGATACCGGTAATAGTGGAGAATGTAGGTAATCTGAGCCCAGCAGGAAGAAATGTGGGCTGGAAGCCACAAAGAAACTAATCTCCAGGCATTGTAATGCATTTCCTATTACAAAGGAACCCATTTTCAACCAATGTTGACATCCTGTTCCTCCTAATGGGCTGTCCCCTGTGACTTCCCTCATTCTTTTAAAATGCCTGAATACCTCCATTGTTAGCTGCACAACAGTTGGGGAATAATTTAATAGACCTTTGCAGTCTGCTGGTCTGTATAAAAGGCATTCAGTGACATATTGCAGGATTTCCATGCTGGGGCAAGGGGACTAGGAATTTAAAGCAAATCTCCAAGCGCAAGAGTGTCTTTTAAAGCCGACTTTAAAGCAGTGTCATGTGGCGTACTCCCTTTGTCTCATTCTTCGTTTCCTCAGCTTTTGGGCTCCTCTACATGCACTTGGGGGGGATTCGCCTCTTGTCCTGGTTTTAAGCCGGTGAAGTTAACTCTTGCGTGGTACTGCCGTTGAGATCAGAACGGCCTTTTCTGTTTACCCGATGCTAATCTTATTTGTGTTGTGAGATCGTTTTCCGAGCCCCTGTCTGATGTGTCCTTCTCTGCCTCTTTGTGCACAGATGAAGCGCGGGGGAAGAATTGTGGAGTCCTGGTGCACTGCTTAGCGGGGATCAGCCGCTCAGTCACGGTGACGGTGGCCTACCTCATGCAGAAGCTCAACCTGTCCATGAACGATGCCTACGACATCGTCAAGATGAAGAAGTCCAACATTTCACCCAACTTCAACTTCATGGGTCAGCTGCTGGACTTTGAGCGGACCCTGGGGCTGAGCAGCCCCTGTGACAACCGAGTGCCCAACCAGCAGCTCTACTTCACCACCCCTGCCAACCAGAATGTCTTCCAGGTGGACTCCCTGCAGTCCACGTGAGCTCTTGCAGCTTCCCTTCTCCTGTCCGTTCCATGGGATCATTCCTCACTGGTTTCTCTTTGGCAGTGAAGAAAGAAAACACAGCTTTCTCTATTTTCTGGCCTGTGGCACTGCAGAGCAGCAGCCGGCGCAGGCTAGAAAGGGTCACGCAGCACGGAACCGGCTATTGCGGCGGGAGGGAAGGCGAGGAGCTCTGGGAGGCCATGGAGGCTGGGTGCAGGTGGCCACGTCCCGCTGGCCAGCCCCAAGGACTGCAGAGGGGAACAGTGGGGCTGGATGGGCCGTGCACGTGTTTCCCGGGACTGGGACTGCCCCGCTTCCCTCTGTGCTTCTGGATCTGTGACATAGGTTCTGTCTTCAGTGAAGACTGGTTATGTTTTGTTTGTCACTTTTTAATTTAGAGGAGCCAAAGAAAGAGATTTCAGCATAGTGTACTTGGAGTATTTGTTTGCCAGGAGCTCGGTAGTGTTCTACTTGATCAATGTAAATATTTAATCTTAAGTCGATTTTCAGGTTTTTTTTTGTTTTTTTTTTTTTGTTTTGTTTTTGTTTGTTTGTTTGTTTGTTTTCTTTTTTAAATTCATATGTATTCAAGAAATCAATCCAAGGGACGCCTAAGTTTTTGTTCTCTTCATAAATTCTGCTTTGTTTGTTTGTTTGTTTTAATTATGGCAAAGAACATATTTGCAGCAAGCTCAATCTTACTGTTCAGTTGAGACAAGCTTTCCATGGGGAGAAATGGCAATGGTGAGAAGTTTGCGAAGTTTGCAAGTCATGTTAGTGAACAAGTACAATCTCTTCCTTCATATATTTTTCTTGTGGTGATTTTTTTTTCCTTCACATTCTTGATGTAGTTTCCACATGGTATATATATATTTTAAATTAAATTAATTTTGTTTTTTGCCTTACCTTTTGTAAATAGATCATCTGGGAGGAGATTTGTCTTTGAATGCGAAAGATTTTTGATCACTTTTTAGAACTTTCAGATGTACTAAACAGTGCATTACCTCTGTACAAATTCTTCAGGGAGCTTCACCTCAAATGCAATATTTGCGTCTTTTTTTTTGTATAAAACTGGAAGTATGTGCGAGCATTTGTACCTGTGTGTACGCACAGTGAACCTGCACACGGTTGCCAATAAGGGAGAGTCTAATTCATGGTGTAAAAGTTTTAAGATGGAATTTATTGTAAGAATGTAAAACCTTAAATTATTAATAAATAAATAACTATTTTTGGCTATTGAGAACCGAGCTGGTTTGTTCTCCCTGGTCCCTCTGTGTGGGTGGGGTTGAATGGCACATGCACATATGGTTCTGCTTAAAGGTAATTGTTTTCAGCTTTTGTACAGCTCCTGAGACAATAAGGCCTTGCTTTGCCATTCAGTCCTCCAGTCCCTAAATGAACAAAGTGCATGGGCTCGGTCCTTGCCTCCTTTTGGTGAAGGCTTCTGGAGGCCTTTAGGTTAATCAAAACATCCCAACACCTCTCTGCTGCCCCGGAGATGCACCTGGCCCTAGGGCACAGGGATCACTTTTAGAACAAGGAGCTGGTGTTTTTTTTTACAGCAGCTTGTTTCTTCCATTTATTTACAAGTGAGGGCAGCTCCATTGCAGATGACAGGAGGTGGGACTGCCATCCCTTTATCTGTATGGCAGAAATTCATTTCCAGAGCCCCATCAATGTCTGCTGTCAGTCCATGTTTATTTGTCTGTGTCAGACTGCTGCAGCTTAGCAGGTGAAGGCATGGAGGAAGCATCCCTATATACCCATGGTCACCTCATATCCTCTTTGGCCCCTCTGAGCAGCCCTGTCTGTGGGAGGGAAAAGAGGGGCTAACTGCAGTTGCAAAACGTCCTGTAGTGACTCGTTGACCCCCAGGACCAGTGCCCCAAGGTGCCAGGGTCCACATGTGGGGCAGGGGAGATGGAAGGCCCTGGGGCTGGGCCACAGCTGAAAGTTCTGCACGGTTCTGGGCAGCCGGAGCATATCCCATGTAATTTTAGCAACTGTGAGTGTGTGAAATGAAAGGCATCAAAACATGGGAAAAAAGTGAGTCAGTGTCTCATGCAGTAGTGGCCTAGATTGAGTGCATAAACTGTGAAAGTAGAAGTGGGTTGCAGTTAAACTTGGCTTGTGCTAATCCAGTTTTGAACGGTTTCCGTTCTTGGCATTCCCTGTGCTGCTCTGTTCAAAGTGGAGATTTGCAAGCAGCTCTAGCAATTTCCTGTCCAGCTGCAGCTCAAGTGACTCTGTTTTTTTTTTTTTTTTTTTTTTTTTAATATGGTCTGCGGATAATTTTAGCCAGTTTCCTCTTTGTGGATTATTAATCTGCTTTCCTTGTAGAAACCTACATAGCTGCGTCCCTACTGTTCTGCTGAAGTCAACAGATGGCCTCGCCGCCACTTCCTTTCGCTTCGCTGTGGGTTTGTTGTCAGGCCACTTCTGAAATTAATAGTGTTTTCTGGCCAGCTGCCACAGGCCATTACCACAAAGGGGAAGTAACACATCTGAATAGCAGGAAGCCGGGCAGGGTCACCCTGTGAGCTGAACCTGTTGAGCGCAGCCGGGCCTCTCTCATTCAGCAAGTGTCAGGCTCCCTGCACTCCCTCCCTGTTCGGATCAGCTCGCAATGCCTCAGCTGTTTGTGCCCAGCAAATATTTCCGGCTAATGGATTGCAAATGTTAATTGTGACTAGGTAGCCTCTAAGGTGAGGAGGTAAATAGCAGTGCATAATGAGGCAGCTGAGGGGAGGGTCTTTGCTTTCTTTGCAAGCTGCTTTGAAAAGTTAGTGCTCACAAGGGCTTCTTGCTTCCTTCCTGCTTTGCCGAGTGACTAACGCCAAGGGGTAGTTCTGCAATTCATCATTTTTCAGGACAAGCAAGCAAGGGAAACCAGCCTTGCTCACACATCCTGTGGCGGCCAGGCAGAGAACTGGCTTCTGCCATAATTTCTCCTCAAACAGGCCCTGGACCAGGGCTGTTGGACAGAAACTGCAGCTAAAGGTGAAACAGGACCAAACGAGAACAATTTTGGGTGAAGGCAGACCAACCACAGCTGTACCAAATCCAATCATACAACACCTGCTTTGACTCCTGATTTTGCTGGGGTTCTTCACACTTTCTCATGTACCAGCTCTGAATTACAGGCGGTTTGGAGGGAAAAGAGGAGAGGGCGTTCCCCAGCACTGCTCACTCCCACTTGCTTGTGCCCCAGCAGTGTGAAAGCAATGGCATGGCCACGCAAGCCCTCGCTGGCTTTCCTGAGGCTGGGATCTGTTTGCCCTGCAGCCGCCCCCAGCACTTGTTTCCCAATAACTCATGGTCTCTGCCCTCCCTTGTTCTAGGTCTCGCGGGGATGGGGCAGAGGTCTCAGGCTGCTGGGGCATTTGGCAGCTATAGCAGTTCCTTGGCTGGTAAAGTAATTTGTAAAGGGAAGAATAAATCCTTTGTGCCTGAAGAGACAGGCCCAATGTCTGTAAGGAAGAGGGGGGAATATTCCCCCTTTGTAGCTCAAAAATCAACATGTTTCATATTATAGTGGAGGAGTGTAAGATACTGAGTTACTTCAGAAGCTGTGGAGATGTCAAGAAGGAAACGTGTCACCAGGAATGAATCCCTCAGAGCCAAAGCTTTCTCACATGGCCCATCTGTGCCTTTAGCACAAAGGGTAAAATTGTGTCCCATGGCACCAACATCCCCTTTTCTCCTGCAAGGCCAGGGTTCGCCTTGTCATTTGGGTGTGGATTAGCACTTGGCTTTGCATTCTCTGTGCAGGAATGTTGTGTAATTCATAGTGCCCTGTCCATTTCTCACATTTCCACTTTCCCATTCATGCCCTTTCAAACCACTCAATGACCGTCTTCAAAATGGCTTCCACCTCCTTCTGTTTTTGTTATTGTATCTGTCATTTTCTCTTTCCCCATTCTCTTTCTTGTCCTTTCTCCCATCACCTTCTGTTCTTACACAAATGTTACCCTAAGCTCCTGGATGTTTTTTACCTTTCTTTCATTTTCTCACCCTCTTCCTGTTATACTCTTCCTGTTCTCTTTGTATTTCAGCTCCACTTTCTCCCAGCTTTAAGCCTCCCTTCTCTTTCTTTTCACAGGGAAGGACAGGATAAGTCTCACAGACTCAGTTTTCACGACTGACAGGAAAAGTGTATTTGAGAGGAAGAGGTAAGAAAATACTGCTGTTGTCCTCTTACCAGCTTCCAGGAGATTAGTTTTTTTCTCATCATCTTTCCCCAGAGCATTTGGCTCCTCAGGATTCCCAGAGGGTCAGTTATAGAAGGAAAGTGGGGAAAGGCCCAGCATGTGGCCACCCAGGGCGTCTGTGCTGGCAGAACTGAAGCTGGATGGACTGGTTGTGTATCTGGAGAGTGTTTTTTCAGCTCCTTTTGCATTCTGAAAACCATGTCCAAAAAATAGTGCGACAGACCCCATCCTACAGCAGTAACCGCGGGACTGCATCAAGGTGCTGCCTACAGACAAGGCATCTGGGTCTTCCCCAAGCAGCTCATAGCTCAAGGGCAATGCCCACTGATGTTTCCTTGTGGCACGTGGGGTCAGTTGTGTGCAGGGTGTGTGTCCTTGCCTCCCCCACTAGCCGGAAATGGATAGTTCTTCATCATGTTTCTCCTTCCTTCATTGCTAAATTGGAGAGATAAGCATACACTGTACTCGATAGATAGCACAGAGAGCTGGTATGGGAGCTGCTGTCTTTTAAGTAAAGTGCGTGTCTCTGTAAGGAAAGGAAAAAAACACGTTAGATGCTTTCTGTTGTTTGTTATCATAGGAATCTGCAAGTGCTGAGGGAATTCTGGAGTGCTCACAGCCTTAGCTTTCCCTCATAAGGCAAAGATGAAGGATGTTGACTTACCACAAGCACAAGGAGATGATTATCAGATGGAAAGTGGGGGTATGGAGTCTGTTTAGGAAATATCTCTTCATGACAGAAGCTGCATTCAGGACTATATTTGAGATGCATCGGAAAGTGCGCCCTGCTCTGCTTCACAGCTGCGATCCCCAGGACGCAGGAAGCAGAAACGCTGGCGCTCTCCCACCCCCGGGTTGCTCCAGCACTGCAGATCCCAGTGACACAAAATGGCCCTATGTGGGAGGTCTGCTCACCCCAAAGAGCAGGCCGTGGTGAGGCACCCTGCTCATCTCGCCAGAGGCACAAGTATGCTGAGGAGTCCTGCTGCCCAGTTCTTCTGCCTTTCCAAATGGGCAATGCTTAACTCCAAGACTTCCATTTTAATTAATTTCTCTGTTTTTCTGTTGAAGTCATGTTTCGGGGCATTGTGGAAGTCTCTTTCTTTCCTGCTGACTCCACGGGAAATAAATTCCCATCTGCAAGTGAAGCCATCTGAGAAACAGATTGATGGCTTACACTGGCCTTACTTAGGGCAAAAGTTCACTGTGGTTTTAAAGGTGGCATTTCTTCCACTTTCTGGGAGATGATGTCTTTACAGAAACAGACAGGAAGCAAACTGGGATATTTACAATTTGTGAGAACATGTACACTTGGTGCATTGAACACTCCAGTGGTGTAAATAAGCATAACAGCTGAGATTCTGCCACTGACATATGGACATTACAACCTTGAACATCTCAGTGCTGCTACCTGCCTCTATATAGAGGCCATTGTGAATACGAGTGATCTTTTTCCTGCATACAGTTCTGAATGAGACATAAGGCAAGAAGGTTAAAATATCTCAGTAGCTCCTTATTTTTAAAAATGATGTTTTAGTGTCTGGGGGACCTATCAGCACATTAAGAAAAGTTCAGCATCAGTGAGAGTTCAGCTACTGCTTGACCAGTGAGGATTTCCTGTGCTATCAGTGATCTAAACTCCATTTTCTATGTCAGTGTTTCCATCACAATCATTTGTCTGAGGGGTTTCTAGGCCTGCCCTGCCCTCTGAGGACACACTGCTCAGTACTTCTCATCCAAGCAGAACCACTGAACTAACTTCATCTAATCATAGGTAACTGGGTAACACACAGACTGCAGGATGTTTTTGTTGTAAACACAGACAAAATGTGTCTGATTTCTGGAAAAACAAAACGGGAACAACAGATTAATCTTCACACATGCCTTTACAATCCCTCACTCAGGTTTTGGTTTTAATTGACGTTTTGCAAGCTGCTGTATGTAAACAAAAGCTTTTTTATATTTGCAAATTACTGTCAGTGCAAGCAGCAATGTCTGTAATTAAGGTGGACCAATGCTTCTGCTTGTAAGA